GCACCTTAGAATATGGGTTTTTTTTTAGACAGGGTTTCAATGTGTAGTTCAGGCTGTCCTTGAACTCACTATGTATCCCAGGTTAGCCTCGAACTTGAGGCAATCCTCGTGCCTTAGCCTCCCAAGTGCTGGGATTACAGGTGTGCACCACTACCCCCAGCTTGCACCTTAGAATATGAAGTCAAATACCTAGCCCAGCAGGTGAAGGAGGAGGCATTTAGAGGAGCTGGGTGGCCCCTTCAGTGATGACTGGAAATGAGAACAGAAGAAATGAGCCAGAGTAACAAAGTGCTTATCTGGGAAAGGTCCATGCATCCTCTTCCCAGCAGCAAGCTAGCTAGCTACAAGGCCACATCTTACTGATGGTCATCCTGTCAGCCAGCCCTGACACAGATATGATGGCACTGGGTGACGATCATCACTACTATGTCATCTCCCCAGATAAGCAACTGATTGTCTCTTTTAAATAGAGATAGAATATTATCATGGGAGCTAAGACCGTGGGCTCTGTCTTTTTGGCTGTGTGGTTATGACAGGAAGGTATTTACTTGGCCCTGCTTTCTCTGCTATAATATAGAGGTAATATCATATAGGACCTAAACGAATTAATATACGCAAAGTGCAGTACTTGGCACCTAGAAAGAGCTCAACAAATGTCAGCTATCACCATCATCCCCATTGTGTATTTATGTATAGAAGTTTTGTATTCTTTAGACACATTCACATAAAAATGTTATCCATAGGTTTTGACCTCATGTTTTCGGTGAAAATGGAATTTCATAAAGATTAAATAACTGGAGTGTAGCTTTTATGAACTCCCGGCTCAATGCTCTTTTCACCATATCAAATATATAAATCACAACATATATATATTCACATACATGAGTCACTGCTGATATTCAAACATCCCGTTTTTGTTAATTAGGAAATGATGAGGCATTTCTCTGCTCAGAATGTCTTACCTTGGGGAGCCTGTACTTCTCCCTGAGGTGGACTCTGAGGCATGCCCTTTCTGCCTTTTTTTGTGTAAATGAAGCATCTCTCTCCATCCTACAAGTTAAAGAATAAAATAAAAGACATAAAGACATGGAGATACAGGACATTCCAGCCGCTGTTCAGGGGAGCCGGATCCTAGGATACACCTCAGCTCCCACTGCCAGCAGACACCTGGGAAATGTGGAATTTCTCACAATGTCCCAAAATGTCCGTTCTTCTGTTACCCTACTCTCATCACCTAGTACATACCTAAATCCCAACAGCAACTTGGGACTGGGCATCTCTTTGTGATGTAACTGGACAGCCAGGGTGATGACTCCTGACACAGTTGCCCACGGACTATGTGCCATAAAACCTGTTGCCTCAGAATTCTTGTGACAAAGACAGCTTCCTGGGCCTGATATCGGTTCTGCTCAAGCAGAATCCCGAGACAGGGGAGGGAGAAGCTACATTTCCAAAAAGACCCCCACCCTGAGTAATTCTTAGGGAAGCAAAAACAGTGTTAACTATTGTATCCAGCATCGGGGCATCTTTTAGAAGCCCATGGTATTTGGGGATTTAATGTAAGGTTGTCTCCCTTTGGTATGATGAAGGTTTGTTATATGTATTTGTAAAAATTGCACAGGGAAACCCATTACTCTGTTATAATCACCATGCACTAATTACAAGGGGGGTGTGATAATGCTGTTTGTTAAAAAACTGTTTCCCTTTATTTTCACTCATTGCAGTCCTCAATTTAGGCAGCCCAATCCCAGTTAGAAGAAAGTATCCCCAAACAAGATAGAGAAGGTTCCCTTCCATAGTACTATACTGGGACACTCCTCTATGGATGACCTAATTGGGCTTACGACTATTCTAGTAAGAAACAGATTCCCTTGCTCCTGATGATCCAGAAAAATGCACACATCTTTGGGGATGCATGCAAAGCTTTAAAAAACTGCTTCCATTTCTAGCTGCCCACAGAACAGAGGTGCGTTATTGGTAGCTACATTTTTACATGTGGCTTTGCTCTCTAGATGTATTGGGTTGGACCAAGTTGGGTCAATTAAATCTGTTTTGCAATTTGGGATTGAGACTGAGAAAGACAGACTTGAAGGGGTGGTTGGAACTGTAACAGGTGAACTTGAAAGCCATTGGCTGCTATTTTCCAGCCTGGCCAGATGGTCTGGTTAATAGAATACAGAAAGGAGTGCTGGCTGCTGAGAAAAGAACAAAGGTGTCAGGCAAATTAGAAGAAATGGCAAGAGGCAAGAAGAGCTTCTGGTTTCTCAACAGCTTCTGGTCTCCCTTTCTGGTAAACTGGTTTCCCAGTTTACATCTAAGTGAGGCCCAGTAGGATTTCTGCTCACGTGTTGGATGAAGCATATTTGGAAAAATACATCTTATTTCTTTATCAAAATTAGCTATTTCCTGATTTCAAGTTTTAAAGTAATCTTAATGATTACGTAAAATGTCTGTAGAGAAGCAAGCAGTCAGATTAGATTCCCGGATCCTGCGCTCAGGTGCTTTCTGAATTCAATTCCATCTGTACAATATCTAGTCCGGGTTCAGCCTTCTAGTTTTGAGAGGAAAATAGGAAAAAGTGACTTGTCCAAGAGATTAATGACCAGTCGCATAAGAGGCAGATCCTTCCCCTATCCCATTGTTATAAAAACTTTCAAACATACAGAGAAGTTAAGAGAATTTTAGTCAAAGCTCCATCCTGTAAATTCTACAATTTGCATCTCATTATACATTTTTTGTCACTTTAACCTCCATCGATTTATCTACCTTACTTTTAAAATTATTGATTGGGCTGAGGATTTAGCTCGGTTGTTCTGCTACCTGCCTCAGAAATGTGAAGTCCTGATACCAAAAAAAAAAAAGTAAGATGCACTGGTATACATTTGCAATGCATACTAATTACATTCACCTGGGGAAATTGGTAATAGATATATTATACCTTAGTCATTCTTCCTTCCCCTTCTCCTGCCATCCCCAGGGTCTCTTCCCCTCTCTGCAAACTCTACATTCCTGTATCCTATCATCTTTCTTTTACTAAAAATATGAAACACTTTACGAATTTGCATATCATCCTTACCCAGGGACCATGCTAATCTTCTCTGTTTTCACTCTAATTTTAGTCATATGTACTGCCAAACCAAGCACTATCCATGTTACTTTTTATTCCCCCTTAAGTTTATTGGTACATTTAAAGCAAGCAATACAGTTGCATTCATCATTGGGATCTTGTACCTTTACATGATAGGTCTTGGTTCTTGTTTTTTCCCCATACCCCTGCCCTCCTTTTACCCCATATTGCTTTTTTATGTATTTCAAAGTTCTAGAAATCAGTACACTTCCCCCAAACATGTCAACATGCATATCATTATTTATTTATAGGTTCTCTTTCCTTTTGAGGCAAAATTTCCAAACAATGTCCAAAATCTTGTGTAACCTAAACCCCTATAAAAATATGAAACATTATTCCCATCTGATTAAATTCCTTCATCTCCACTCCTGATCAAACACTGTCCCAGTTGTAGGGCAACTGCCATCCTTTCTCCATTAGAGACAGATTTTGCCTTTTCTATAACTTCATGTAAATGGAGATATATACATTCTATTCTCTGCAAAGCTTCTATAACTCAGCATAGAAAACGTTCAGGTTCATGTTTTATTTATCACTAGTGAATTCCTTTTTTTCCCTGAGTAGTATTTTATGTACAAATACATCACCACTTATTCATTCTCCTGTTGATATACACCTGAATTATTGTCCATTTTGGGTGATAGCAAATGAGGTTGCTATCAATATTCTTAAACAAATATTTTATGGACACATATTTTCTTTTCTTTTAGGTAAATATCTAGACATGGATTTATGGGGTTGTAGGATAATTTAGTTGAGTATGTTTAGTCTTAGAAGAAATAGCTGGACTTTTTTCCAGAGTGATTGCACTATCTTACATCTCTGAAGGGCGATAAGAGTTCTAGTGGTTTCACATTTCAGCCAAACTTTGATACTTTTTTGTTTAGTTTCAGCCAGTCTAGTATGTGTGTGTGTGTGTGTGTGTGTGTGTGTGTGTGTGTGTGATAGTGACTTACCTTGTTTTTATATTTTTTGCATTTCCATGATAACTAATTATATTAAGGAGCTCTTTTTGCATGAACCAACTGGCTATGTATAGTTACATGTGAAGTTTTGTTCAATTCTTTTGCTCATCGTTTTGCTTTTATTATTGAATTGTAGTTCTTCATATGTCCTAGATCCTAGCCCTCTTTCAGATACATGTTTTGCAAATACTTTTTCTCAGTCTGTGTCTTGTTTACTTATTTTCTTAATGACATCTGTGATAAAATTTTTAATTTTGATAGTCCAATTTATCAAACTAAAATTTTATTATTATTACTTTCTGAGTCACAATAAACTTTCACTTACTAGTTGCAAAAACATTCTTCTGTTTCTTCTAGATTTTGCCTTTAGATGTATGATGCATATCAGATTAAGGATCGTGTGTAGGGTACAATAGAGGTGCAAGTTGAGTGTTTTTCAGTTATTTCAGTACAATTTGTTGAACTGACTCTCATTTCCTACTTGTATTTTGGTACTTTTATTGAAAATCAAATAACTGTACATCATTGTCAGTCCTAATGCCACACAGATTCCATCATCCAGAGCTAGTTTAGAAATTATTCAGAAAGCTGGCTGTGCTGCTGAATATGGAGCTAGCCATCCCCTCAGTTACAGTATACATTTCTGCAGAAGAAAACCCATGTCTTTTACTTCAGTACATCCCTCACAGATCCAGGCCCATAGTGAGGAGGTCGAAAAACATGACTGAGTAAAACAAAGTCTAGAGTCAAGGTTCAAATGGTACTGTAGTTGAACCATCACTAGGGGAGCACTTCTATACAGCCATGTCGAGTAAGAGTCAACAGACTATGGTTTTATTTTCTGTCCAAGAATTTCTTTCCTAAATCTTCTATTTGGGTATAGGCATCTTTCAGCACCAATGTTGTCAGTAGTGAGAGAGAAAAAAAAAATCTAATCATAAAAGAGAAATAAACATGAATGTGCAGTAAAGGACACTGTTAGGTAGCTTTTCTTTCATTTTCAATTGGTAGAATCAATCCTATTACTTTAAAAAAATATGATGAGGATAGGTTTAGAGGCTTTTCTTTGCTAATATTTGTTTTTGTTACTATATATATTGCACTACCTATGTAGCTCTCTCTGGACTTGTGATTAGCAGGCATCTGGATGCCTACTTCTACATATCATATTCTAGGCAAAAAAGATCCTGAAAATTCAAGCTGTGGGTGACAGGTCCTCCCTCTTGCCATGAGGAAGGAGAGTGCCACACTGTCTTACCACTGTTCTTAAATTAGGGGACTGAATAAATTTATGATATTCACATGCATTCACCCAAAAAGCCAAGCAGTGCACAGACAACCCAGTCTGCTGATCAACCATATGATTTGGTCATTTTGAGCTTTGATCTGTCTATATACAAAATTAAGGAAAGCTAAGACATTAATCAAGCAGATGCCACATCTGTAATTTATTGTTTGGTTTTTTAAGTGATACTTTGCGTGATCATGTACATGATCTGAATTCCTGACCATTTTCATTAGCTTGCTTGAACTGAAAGTTTATCGTGCTATCATTCTAGTCTCTTTGTTATACTTGTTTTTCTTTTCCATGACATAGGCAAAGCAGACCAATACTCAAAGAATTTTGCTTCTTTTGCCCAAATTTTATCTTGGCATCAACATCATTTTCCTTTCTTTCTTTCTCTTTCTTTCTTCCTTCCTTCCTGCCTTCCTTCTTTCTTTTCTTTCTTTTCCTTCCTTCTTTTTCCCTTTGTTCCTCCCTCCCTCCCTTCTTTGCTTCCCCCACCCTCTTTCACTCATTCATTCTTTCTTTCTTTCTTTCACTGAATTTACTACAGAACCAATCATAATGAATTCTAGGTAGTTTAGAGCCATGATTTCTTTTAGAAAAATATAATAGATGACGTTTCTACTAAATGTAGGTGTTGTACTTTCTTAATTTCCTCCAGGTCACTAACCTCTTCACCTATAATCATCTTAGCGATAAGACTTAGGCAACTATGATTATTAGTAAATAGCCATGGTAGCAAAAATAAATACTTTTCTTTTGCAACATATGATGAATACAAAGAGTACAATGACACTTCAATTCTTAGTTGACTATTAAATAAAGCCTTTTAATTCTGTTTAAAGCTTTTAAAATCACACTTATTAATAGTCTTTGAATAGTGACAAATTATTGGTGATATTAATTCCATCATACCTAACCAAAATGTTAGAGTAGTCATATTTTACTTTTATTATATTTTATATACCCAGGAGAATGCCCTTATTTTTAGAGGTACAGGGCTGTAATATTTAGGGGGAAGTATCATGATAACTGTAATTTATTTTAAAAATGCAATTATGGCTTAATGTTTGCTGTTGTTTTTATGTCATCAGTGTTTTGGGGCATGCGTCATACTATTCTATTTTTCCATATGTTAACATTTTTGCAGTAAGGAGTCCGCCAATTTTTCAGAGTCTGCTAACTACGTTTTTGACAAAACTCTTATGTTTTTTTTTTTGCTTTTTATGCAAGATTAAGGTTACACTATATGTTTTTAGGCTCTCTTCTAGGTAGAAATTCTGAATTCTCACAATTTGAAATTCCTACAAAGTAGGAAGGTGAATTTAAGAAAGATTACAAAAATAGTTAGAGTCACCATTTTTTGTTTGAACAATTAAATTAAAATAAGTTAAAACATGCCTCGGGCTGGAAATGTAAAGCTGCTTTAAGAATAATATATAGTTTAACTTGTATTTTTCACTTCTATTCATACAAGTAGCACGTGGGTGTCATGGATGCTGTGGAATCGTTCACTTTACCTAAACAAAATTTTCTCAGGTTAGAGGTAAACAGTCAGAGGGAAAATAGCCCAAAAAGCACAGAGAAATAAGCCGGAGAGCTGAAGAAGTCAGGTGCTGAATGGATTTCCCTTGCTTTCACAGGGCAATGGAGTTGTGGTACTCACTTCTCCTCAATCATCTGCTTTTGGAATTCCTCGTACTCCTCTCTAGTCATCCCTTGAGCTGCTGCTGGGTCGGATGTGCCTCCTTCTTCATTTTTTTCTTCAGCCCCACCTCCAAATCCTAAATTCTTCACCTGGTTACTTATCATACTTTTTACAAAGAAAGCCATTGTCTCTGCCCTAGAAGACTACAAACAAACTCCAGATAAAACCTCCAACTATTCTCAGCGACAGCAGCACATTTAGCAGCAAGGGATTTTGTACAGCCTCCTCTGTTCAAGGGCATAATGATAGGAAGAGTGGTTTGTGGGCCGTAAGCTGGATTAGAGTGGTGAATGCCTTAGTATGGAGGCAGATGGTTCCGATTACTAAAGCACATGCTCAGATGCTACTTACTACCTTCTGATTCATACACTCAGCTGATTTCACAGGGAGAAAACCACTCATATTCTCTGCTCCTATCTACTGTTTCTTTTCTTTTCTTTTTTTTTTAAGTGCTGAGGATTGAATTCTGCCATTACGCTGTATTCCAGGCCCCAAATTTTAAATTATAAATGCAGTAGTAGATATTCAACAAGAGTCTTGTTGCAGTTTAATCAGAGCTGACTGATTGCATATAGTGGCAGAATTTCCAAATTTCAGCTGTTGGGCACATGAACCTGTTGAAAACTGAGTCCAGTGAGATTCAAAATACAGAATGCTTCATTAAGCAAAAATAATCCTTTTGATCCATTTTTTATCTCACTGAATTCAAAGTACTATGCAAAGATTTGCTATTTATTTATTTATTTATTTATTTATTTATTTATTTATTTATTTATTTATTGGTACCAGGGATTGAACTCAGTACCTTGTGCTTGCAAGGCAGGTGGAGGAACACTGAGCTAAATACCCAGCCTAAGATTTGCTTTTTGGTATGCTTGAAATTTGTTCCACTTTAATGATGATGGTGTCCCACACAAACATGCAAAAGCCAAGCTCTAAAGGCTGAGCTTGGGGCCTCACTTCACACTGGAAGGTGAGCCTAGCCTGTCCCACACAGAAGTGTCACTCATCTACCTGGAAAGGGCATGCTCGACACCTGCAAGCTCTGATCCAGAGGTAAGTACTTATGGGATGCAAATCAACAGTATGCATTGGGTGGGTCACTTCTTCCTTAACAGTCCACCTGGTGGGTGCTCTATTTAAGCTCACAGGTGTAGCTGGATGCAACTTGACAGTATTTTATAATGCAGTACGTTCTCTCTGGTGTGGTTTTCTTCAGGTCAAGGTAAGAATTGGGTTTGGCTAAGACTTTAATCTATGCTAATGTGTTTCTTTTTTTTAATTTTTCATACTAATGTGTTTCTAATTAAAGCTTTCCAGGAGCAGAAAGTGTGGGAGAAAAGAGCTGCAACCTATTTGTAACCTGTGCTCGTTATTTTATCAGAAGACACGAGCCCACTTAGAAAAAAAGACAACGTACTTCTAGTTGTATGGAATTGAAATCTGTATTTTTGCTTAAAATTCTTGCTTTCTGTATTTTTATGGTCTGCTTTCTGTTTTTACTAATGTATTTTTAAATGATGCTAAAATGTGCTCAATAGAAAGACTAACAGTGATAATTTAAGGTGAAATTTAAACTTTACTCGGTGTCTTCAGATTGAGAATGTACATTAACACATCTTCACTTTCACTGCAGGATAGGTTATTTGAAACCACATTCAAAACATTATCTCAAAATCCCACTTATAATAAACTTTCATCTTCACTGAGGAATGTTGTTAATTATGGTCTTACAATACTTTATAGACTATGAAGTCCTAGATTTCTGTTGTTCCCCCCCCCCGTTGTTTATTGGTACATTTTAGGTATACAATACAGTTGCATTCATCGTTGGGATCTTGTACCTTTACATGAGATATTTTGGTTCTTACTTTTTCCCCATTCCCCTGCTCTCCCTTCATCCCTTTTTTTGATTTTCTAGTACAGCACACAGAAATTCTCCTTTAGAAAATACTCAACAGGTGTTCATGGGATTAAAAACTACTTTTATTTTTCAAAGAAAAGGGGAGCCTGTTGAAGTCCTATTTTGGTCTGACAGTGGAATTTTAAAAGTTATACTGTTAGCCAACTGCATTTAAAGGGTCTGAGTCAGAGAACTAATACTCTTCCCTAAAGAACAAAATAGCAGAAGTAATAAAAATTCATTTTGTTATAATTACTATTTGGAGCCATATAAAAGTAATTATTAAAATTCCATTTTATTGAGCATTAGAAAATCCTATTAGCAAGAGTGTCAATTTTAAATTCCAAAACAAGGCTGTAAAGCAGTGTTTCCCTGTCCAGTCTTTTTCTGTATGTATCTGGGGAAGAGTGGGCAAGCATCATAGAGACTCTTAGGTGGAAACTAACAGTATGAAAACTGAGTATCCCCCACTCTTTTTTTTTTCATTGAGTTTATTGGTACTTTTTAAGTGCCCCACTCTTACTTTATGAAATCAAGTCTTACTTGTATCCCAACAGATAATGCCATTGATAATAGAATCATGTTTTAAAATACTTCTGCTTCTCAATTTATTACAATAGCCTATTCAGCAACCATTTGCTGCTGTGTGTAGAATGTTTGTAGAATCTTCTGTTCTTCCAGGTAGAGGAAATAATAAGGCTTACAGAATGGTACGATTAGTATTAACTGCCACTCCACGGCTCCCACCTTGCTTGAATAAGATCCCTGCTTCTTTCTGTGGCCTATGTGGCCTTACATTATTTGGCCCTTGCTGACTTGCCAGTCTCATCTCCCACATTCCCTTGGCCCAGTGTACTCTGATCACTGATGTCTCTATTGTCCCTTGAACTAAGCTCATTTCCCCCTTTGTCCTCATGGAGCCCTGCTGATCTTCTCCACATCTTTGCTTGGCTCACTCTCAGTTTGGGACTCTGGTCCAATTCACCCCTTCGGGAATGTCCTGATTACCATAAAATACTTTGCCTCCACCATTTCCACCCTCTCTAGTCCTCTGTCCTACTGCTTTTTCTTCACAGCACTTAATTCTACCTAAAATGATATTATTATTGATTCAGGTGTTTCCTTTCCATCTATTCTATTAGAATGTAAGCTTCATGAGAGACCAGTGTAATTTTGTTCTCTTTTGTATCCTTACCCCTGAGAATTATGCTAATAAGTAATTGATATCAATCTTGAGGGGAAAAGAATGAATGATTGCAACCTTTTAGTCATAAGTTCAAATAGTTTATTTTTAAACAATTTGACTTTAATGGAGGTATTCAAGATTCTACTTGGGCTGGGCATGGTGGGACACACCTGAAACCCCAGCACTCCGGGAGGCTAAAGCAAGAGGATCCCAGTTTTGAGCCCAGCATGGGCAACTGAGAAAGAGCCTATCTCAAAATAAAAAATGGGCTGAGGATGGAGCTCAGCATGGAATCCTATATTCTATCCCTAGTACTGCATCAAAACAAAACAACACCCCCCCCACAAAACCTATTTGGGAGTGTTGGGACATATGGAGAATCACCTGGAGAGTAGGGCTTGGAGAGTAGAAGCGCTTGGAGAATTACCTTTAGACATGTGTATCATTAGTGCTTTACAAATCAAAGCTGTAGTGGTTGCTGCATTCTTTGCTAGTTCCCAGGAATAAGACCACTAGCTATAGTTAAAAAAAAAATCATGTCTCATCCTGGTTTTAATGGGCCATCTTTGTAAATACTGATTAGTTGTGATCTACTTACTCAGGTTGAAAGATTTGATGGTATCTGACCTAAAGAGTTTACTAGAGAAGCAATAATTCCATCAGTGGAACTGAATTTTAGAAAGATCACATTCAAACAGCATAAATCCATTTAGATCCTTCATCTAGGATTTTTCTCTTCATGTTAAAACTTAATTTTGTGCCTGCAAGTTGGTTTGTGGTATCATTTCTTCTTTAACCTCCCTCAGGGAAAGCATGGCTATTAGTTCGTGCTGACCCAGTCATTATATCCTCTCAGTAGATGACACAACAGCAATTTGGAGGTAGCCAGACCTCATGAAGATCAGCAGAACTGGCAGGAAAAAATGATTCCCAAGTGCTAAGTGTAAAGATGACTTAAAGATCAGATATACTAGATGGATTTTCAACCTTGATTCTAACTTTGGAAATCTGTAATGTAAAATGAGAAAAAGTCTTGGGAACTAGAAAGACCATTTGAGAAACCACAAATTAATTACACAGCCCTAATCAGAATACCTACGGAAGAAATGTTAATGGTTTTTGTTTCACCTAATAGAAATATGTAATTAATAAACTGTATTGAAATGGTCAAATAGGATGGTTATTTTTATTTCTATAGGACTAGCTAATATCTTTGTCGACAGAAACCTAAGTTTATATACCAGCTATGCAGAGATTCCCCAATCATAACACAATTTTCACTGACTTATAGGACTTAAGATAATCTTTCACAGTATCCTGTGCAGTTGTTATCCGATAGGTTGTAAGATCATTTGGAACACTATGGGTCCCGTCACATCTTAACATTTTTCCTCCCAAAGTGATGGTTTTTAGAAAATGCATCCCTGGTTCATTATTCCAATCCTCTATTATATTCAGCAACGTGATAATACCTGATTGGTTTAAAATACCTAAAGTATTTCTCTGATACTTTTGCAGCTAGTCTACAATTCTGAATCCTATCACATATCTGCCATGCTGCTGGTGAGTTGGTTTTAAACTCAGTTGTTTTTCTCAACAGGACATGCTGGCTTTTCTGATTTGTTTGTAAATCTCTATGTTGGTTCTATGTGGAAGGGGAAGATGGATTGGAAAACACACTAATTTCCTGTTTACATGGTGGGCTGTCTAGTTTGGTCTGAGCTATGCTCATGCTTGGAGTTCAAATACATTTGGAAAAGTAACAAGTGGGGTGGCTGACAATTAGCCCATTTGCATGAAGTAGTAAAGAAGCTTTTGGGAGAACTCAACCAAAGCAGACATGTAAGCAATTTTTTTTTAGAAAACCTTAGTTCTCAGAGGCATGAGATATTTTGAACGTGTTATTTCCACTCAGGTTCACTGTGGCCCAGACAATGAATTCATTATGACTGTTTCTTATAGAGATGGACCTGTAATTAAATGTGAACTGTTCTCTCTGAGAACTTGGGCACTGAGGCCGCCCATCACTGCTTTAA